ATCTTCCAAAATGGTATTATTATTGACCCACAACTAAGTAATTAAATTTGATTTGTGTCTACATTAATTAATTAACCTTAACATTTCCCAGAACAGTTAATAATAGATTTTGGAAAATCAAATTATATTTTTTTATAGTTATTTCCACTAACCTGACATCGTTAGAGAGTAACCATCAGCGGTGTTGCTCATGTGTGGGTATCAGCTACCAACCACAAATCACATCAGTAAATCACATCAGTGAATCCTTAATTTATTTTTTTCATTAGCAGTTAACATTAGACAGAATTCCCCGCTGAAAGCTGAGAGACCTTGGCATGGGCTTTGACTTTGCCATTGCCTGAGCTTCTACAAAAGCCTGTGCTCTCAATTACATCTCTCAGATGAAGTTTTACAGTATAATTTTAAAAATTTTCTTGATAATAGTTTTCTTAGATACTATGTGTAGTAATTATTACTTATCAGTACTTATACCCGTATATACCTCTGATCTAAGAAAAAGTCAATATAAAATAATCATTAATATAAGAAGATGAATGAATAGTTCCAGACATTATTACATTAAATATTTAAATGACATCATCAACACTTAGAAACAAGACAAAGGATTAGAAGTTCTTAGTATCCTAACTACAAACAAAAATGTTGGTGCTTAGAGTTGAGGAGAGGGCTCAGTTGGTAAAATGTTTACCACACAAGCATTAAGACTTAAGGCTGGATCCCTAGCAGGCATGTAGGAAGGAAGGGAATAGCAATCCACATTTAAAATTCCAGCACTAGGAAGGTAGACAGCTAGAACCTTGGAGCTTACTTTGCAGCCACACTGGCCAGTTGGTGAGAACTCTGGATTTAGTTAGACAGTCAGTCTCAAAAAACAGTGCAGAAAGACACAGGGAGACCAACATTAACATCTGGCTTCCACGAGCATGTGTACCCACTTGCACACATCCACACAATAACACATATACACAAAAGACCTGATGTATCTTCTATGAAAGCTACTAAATGTTGGGACAACAACATGGTATTAGACTGAATTATGTTCTCAGATCTAGTCTACATGTTTGCAGACAGGGTTCCATGTAGTTAAAACATCATTAACGTTACTAGGGCACTCCAAATCTACATTTAAATCCTCCACAGAAAATTGGTGTTCAAAAGAAACAGATGATGATTGAGATCTCCTTAGTTCTAGACATCAAACAATCAATAAAACTGTACTGCCTCTGTCTCTAACAGTGATCAGATTGGACCCTATTTCAACCATGGTTAATGGTCCCTTGAAAGTAGATAAACTTTAAGTTTAATCTTTGCTATGAATCTCTTTAGGGTGCCTTGAAAAGAATAATAAATTCAGTCTTTGTACATAGCATTAAACAAGCAAAACCATTTTTCAAAGTACTCAATGATACTTTTGTGTTAACAGCTCCATCTGTGTACTGCAGGGTTAAAAGAAAGTCATCTTTCAAAACTAGCTGCGTACTCAGGTAAGCTAGAAACTCACTTTGAACAACCTAGGCTGGGTGCACACACTCAACTTCATGATGAGAAAATCTCTTTTCTCTAGATTTGGCACATGGACCTAGCTTTGGAGAACATCATCTAAGAAAATGATATCCATTACCAAAAGAAGACAAGAACATTCTAGTATTTCTCACTTTCTGAGAAGTCAGCCCAGCTACATATATTTAATAATGTTTTTTGTAGAAATATTTTGTTTAAGTTCTTGGTGAAATCTGTAGAACCAACAGGCCTACCCAGCACCTGTAAATCCTGGTAGCAATGGACTGCTACAACGTCAAACTAAAATCTCTGTATGATTAAAATGCTGGGAAGGACAAAAATAAAGGCACAACTGTAATTTCAGTCTACTTAAAAATGAAATATTTTCCCATTTCTAACATTTCTCATTTCATTGTAGAGAAGATGGTACAGTAAGAATTTCCTACACTGGTATTTTATGGTTGGTCTAGGAAACCCAGAGGCTTCAGGGAGAGCCATGCAGCTTGAGGATCCAAATCTAATTCTCAGAACTCTGAAGAAAAAAAAAAAGATAGCGTGGTCCCTATTCCCTCCAGGATCCTCAATCTTTCTATGGACTTCTTGACCTAGGTCTAATGTTTGATTGTGGGTCCTCTGCATCTGTTTTGGTTATCTGCTGGGTGGAGCCTCTCAGAGGATACACACATAGCCTTAGGCCTCCAAGTTGACGGAGGAAGGCAGGCCTGCAGTGTGTCCCTATTGATCCTCTGAGGACAGCTCGAAACATTCCTGCCCAACTCGGCAGGGGTTGCTACTGTATTCATTTATGTCCCTCTTACACAGGGCACCTGTGTATCCAGGCAAACAGTGACAAACATAGCTATCTATCAGAATTAACTAACCTTGAAGATTCCCAGAGACTGAACCAGCAACCAAAAAGCATACAAAGACTGGACCTAGCCCCCCACCTCCCACACATATGTGGGAGATGTATAGCTGGGACTTCATGTGGGTCCCCCAGAAATTAGAACAGGGGCTTACTCTGACCCTGTTACCTGCTTGTGGATACTGCACACCCAACTGGTGGTCGGCCTTGTCTGGGCCTCATTGGATGCTGTGCCTAGTGCCGAAGTGACTTGAGGTGCCAGGGTGGGTTACTAGCCAGGGAGGACCTCTCTCTTTTCAGAGGTGAAGGAGGAGTGGAGGAAAGGGCCATGTTAGGGGAGACTGAGAGGAGGGGGGATTCAATTGGGCTATAAAGTGAATAAATAAATTAATGGGAAAACCATAGTTTAGTGATGAGCCATTGTGATCAGAGCACTGGGGATGTGAAGACAGGTGGATCTTTGGCAAATGCTTGTTGTTCAGCCAGTTTGTCTAAGACTACTGTAGCCAGTGAGATACAGATGAGTGAGAGACAGTCTCAGAAAATCAGAGAGAATGCTTCTGAGGGATGACACCCATCTTGCCCTCTGTCCTCCACGCATGCATTTACGTGCTTACACAAAGACAAACAACAGTACCAGTTCTATGAAGGGTCAGCAGGTCTACCAACTCTTACAAATTTTCAAAGGAAACATCAATTTGTAAAAACAGAGCTTGGCAAGAGTCCTCCCTTAGCAAAAAATAAAATCAGTTTAATTGCATTGAAAGAATGAATGTTTTAAATGAAGCTTGGTGGAATGCAATTCCATCAAATCACCATCTAAATGTTAAGACATTCTTCCTTTTCTTCTTATGCCACCAAACAGAAGATTGCTTATCTATGGCTTGATAAAAAAAAAAAAAAAAAAAAAAAACCTTAGAGAACGGGGCAACAGCAAAATAAACTTAACTCTAGTAAGAAGCTTCTGTCCCTAAGAGAAAACACCCTGTGTCAAACTCTCACCAGCTTTGGCACAGTTAAAGCTTACCTTTGGAAGGCATTAGCATTTTAGATGGATTATGGATCCTGTCTATAGCTGAAGTCACTTGAAAATGTACTGGGAGAAAGAGCAAGTGAAGAAGTAACATAGCTCTGTGCCAACTTGGAGCAGATCATAGTCAGTGAAAGTCCCTGGAAGAAATCTTTCTAAGAGTGTATACAATACCAATTTGCTATTGTATTCTATTTCCATAAAATACAGTTCAGTAGGTAGGATCTTAACATCCTAAAACATACACTAATGAAAACACTGACCACCTCCACATACTACATGAATGTGACGAGCATAATCTCTCCTTTCTGTAGTTTCTATATGAAATCAACTTCAACAACCATTCATTTCTATTGTATAACATTAAAGAAACCTAAGGACCCCAGAAAGTCCCTTCAAGGAAACCTGGTCCCTCTACCCATCCGCTCCCCCACCCCCATTTTTGCTTTCTTTTTTGCAAATGCCATTCTTGGTAAACACATACTTGCCATTTGAACTTATTATCTGCTGCTAACACAGACTTTAACCAAGTTTACAATTCATCTTACTGAACATATTTTCCTTAATTACCTAAGTTACCAATGCTTCAGTCAACACTCTTACTCATTTTAAGGTTCTTTGATGCACTACAGATACTACCATGTCCTCTCTTTTGTTTTTCCTTAATCCTGCCCTCCCTTTCTCCCTTCCTTCCTTCTTGATCCTGTCTCTTCTGTAGCTTACCCTGGGGGCGAGGCTGGAGACCTTGCTCTCTCAATATCAGCTCTTGATAGAACAATCATTTCGTACATGGGGACTCCATGATACAGCAAGGCATCATGAGAGGGCAAAGCATTAGTCAGAAGGAGGAAAGAGTCAGCCATTTGCCACCTCTTTGTCTCTGTCCCACATCTCATCTGCAAGAATTCTTGGTAGAAATCTTTCTTCTGTCTCTATTATATATCACTAAGGTAAAAAGGTTCACATCATCATATGAAAGAAAACAAGATTTAGAACTAAATAAAGCCATGTTGGAACACAACTGATGAAGCAGGACTAGCCATACCTGATAATTCAACATTATCCTACAAGTAGACACATTACCATAGAGTCTCATAATACACAATATCAAATAAAAGTCATAGAAACATTCAGTCAACCCTGGTAGTCAGGACATTCTCAGAGGTGTTTCATCTTCAGGCTTTTCCAAATTTGTATACAACAGTGTAGTTAGCAAGTTTTGTGGTTTATTAAACATTTGTTTTTAGTATTTGTGTGATGTATATATTCACATATATGTACTCCTCATGATTCCTAACAGAATAAAACTTTCAACTCATCTTAAGTAATATCCTAAATTGTTTCACAATTTTATTTTATCATGCTCTACAATAAATGGAAAGTATGTAAAAGAGAAAAAGTAAAAATATGATATTAAGATCTTATGTACTATGCATATTGAAAAGAAACACCAATGAGAGACCTGTTATGTTACTTAATAACTATGGTTTCTTGAATTACAATTGTTAAGAGTCGATACTCACATGTGTAAAGACACACACACACATGCAGATGCACACGCATGTGGACATGCATACTCACACATACACATAAGTAACTTACACTATTTCATCGTTCTGGAATTCGAGCTCTCCACAGGTGTCCTCAAAGTCCTCCCCTCCACCTCGTGCTGTGCCTTCAATGGTCTTATAGGGAACGATAACATTTCCTCGGGCCCCAGAGGTTCTCAACACCTTCACCTCCATGATGCCAATGCTCTCGCTTACGTGAGTCACGGGTTCCTCAAACGTAAAGATGCCTGCGTGGTCATCATCAAAAATGGTTATGATGGCAGTGCTGGGTGACCCAAGACAAGCAATTGTAGATGTATGATTGGATTCTAGTATGCCATCTTCTGAAACTTCTGTAGAGACTCTGACATTGCTAAGATGAACATGGAAGTTTTCATCTTCTTCAAAGATATCATCATCAATGATGCCAACTCTGATTTCCTTCTGGGTCTCCCCTGGTTTGAAGATCACAGTCCCTTCCGTGAATTCATAATCAGACCCAGCATTGGCTGTGCCATCTTCTGTCCTGAAGTCAACCAACAGAGTGCTGCTCAAGTCACCCCCTCTGCGAACAACGTTGAGAGCCACAGTACCACAGTTCTCTAGACACTGGTATGTCCCTTGCTCAAAGAAGACCTTATTGACTGGGTCGTTTTCAGCTATGCCGATGTTGACTTCATGCATGCTGACAGCCTTCCTTGCTTGATCAGCTGCATGCCTCTTCAAAATGTTGCCAGCTCCAATCATCAGGCGAGTAGCTTGAATCCGGTAAAAGGCTCGGCTTTTTTGCTGTTGACTTAGGACTTGATAGTTGGCTAATTCTATTAATTGTTCGATTTCTTTCTCCGGATGCTTCTGCTTAAGTTCCTTCAGAATCCTTGCCATATCACGCCTCGTCTCTTCATCATCTTGGTCCCTCTCACCAACTTCCAAAACCAGAGCACCATCTAGAAAATTTTCAACATGAGAGTTGACCACTTTCCCATCCATTTCAATTTCAGTTTTGGAAGCTGGTCTGTCACCTTCATGTTCAATGATCATCCCTCTCTGCTTGCCAGCCCTGTACCGCTTGTAGACATACTTGTAAAAGAGGAGCCGCCTGTCTGCTACCCAAGCGAACACAACACAGATGGGAAAGAAGAAGAAAGTAAGCAATCCTTCCCAGACCTCTACAACACCAGGAGAGCTGACAGACAAAATTATATAAAGCCAGGTATAGGCAAAGATGCTCCAGGCTGCTGTCACAAAGAACACACGCAGATGCTTAATTTTCCTCGTCTCTCCGTCAGGGACCACATAAACACAAAGAGCAATGATAATGAACATGTTAAAGGCAGCACTTCCCACAATGGTGCTGGGACCAAGGTCCCCTGCAGTAAAGTTATGGCCACACACTTCAATGACTGACAGGAGAATCTCAGGAGCAGAAGATCCCAGGGCCATCAAGGTCAGGTTCGACACAGTCTCATTCCAGATCCTCACCGTAGTCTTGGTGGTCTCTCCATTCGGTTTCTTTATGGTTATTTCTTTTTCTTGAGAGGTAATAACTTCTATAGAGGACATAAACCGATCGGCAATAATTGAAACTCCAAGGAACATGTAGACCATGGCCACAAAATACACAGTTGCTCTAGCAATTTTATCCCCAAAAGATGGGTCTTGGGGTTCCCAAATGGGCAAAATCACTCCTTTCTTACAGTAATATGAGCCAGTACATTCAGCGGTTTCATTTCCTCCTGCTTCTGCCTCTGTATCTGCAGTTATATGGTCAACATGGGAAAACAAGAGGGCCACCAGAGCTACCAGACGAAATCCCATTGACAGGCTGGGTGAGAGACTTAATCGGAGCATGTTGTACAATAAGAGTTCCAACTGTTCCAACCTGCAGTTAAAAAAAAAAGATGAAGGAGAGGAAAAGAAATCACATCATTAGAGCCAAAGCATCATTGATAACTTATTTGAATTAAGTTTACCAAAACTTTCTATATGTTTGCTCATCATAAAATCTCTATGGAGTCATTATTCTAAGAATCCACCAAGGATTAAACAATCTTTTAAAATTTACAATTCAGTCTTTCTGTGTGTGGATTTCCTACATGTAGTCCCATTCACTGAGTGAGACACACAAACGACTCCCTGAAAATAAAATGTCCCATTACAGCATGGCTTTATCAAGAACATGCTGGTGCACACTAAAAGCCAACAAGAAACAGAAAACAAAACTTTTGAAGCATTAAGCAAATTTTTCCCTGTTGCTCATGTGGAGGTTTTTTTTTTTCATTTGACTTAGAACGATATCTTTGGAAACTATTCCATTGACAAAACCATCTTTTTAAGGGTCGCATCTTGAAACTCAGACTCTGAAATAAACTTCCAAATACAAGGCATACACATTATCTTAAATCCTGCAGTACATCTTTATTGTGTTTTGTAAAATAGCATCCCACTATTCTAAGGTTCCTTGAAAACAAAGAAATCTTCAAGCTCACTGGCAATAAAGCTCAAACACATTTTTTCTTATGAAGAATATTATTTCACTGAAGGTGCAGTATTCTCATATTTTAGGTGTAGTTTGTTTGTTTTTTTTTTTTAAAGACAGGGTTTCTCTGTGTAGTCCTGGCTGTCCTGGAACTCACTCTGTAGACCAGGCTGGCCTTGAACTCAGAAATCCACCTGCCTCTGCCTCCCAAGTGCTGGGATTAAAGGCATGTGCCACCACTGCCCAGCTAGGTGTAGTTTTTAAAAGCATGTTTTCATTAAGGCATAGCACTCCCCTCTCCCCATTTCAGCAAATTGAGTTGCCCTGATGGATTATTAGCTGGTAACATATGTCTTCAAGCACAGTTCTTCACATCTGGATACACAGCCTGCTTTGGAAGTTGCAGACAGTATGCCACAGGAAGACGAGATAACCAGGCCTGTGGTGAGCTGTATGGAAGATCCTGGAAGGCTGTGGAGTCAGCCATAAAACATTCCTTCTCAGTGCCAATGTCATACTTTCCATGATCATTTCAAAACACACATTAGTTCTATAGTTGGTTCAAGAGGCCAAAAGATGAAGGAGTGGTGATTCCATCTGAATTTCCTCATGTAGCATAACAATTGTGGCCAGAAAGTATACATAAAGTATACATATGGTGAAGAGCTGTTGGCAGTTAAGAACATGGCAACTGTGTCACTGAGCAACACAAAAAAATGATGTTGTTGACTAAGCCACCGGGGTCTTAACTTTATACCTTCTAGCTCAGCTGAAACTTCCTAGCACCTTTGCCTCCAAGACGTGGAATTTGGAGTAAATGCAAAAGAACATTTCTATCACAGCCATCTAGAATGCCTCGTTATAGCATTCATAAAGCCTGGATAGGAAAGAGGTTATAGTTAGTTCTCTGTATTACCTGTGGAAAGTGAAACCAAAATCAGCATTCTCATTGCTCAGTCTGACAGGAAGCCATGCCACTTTTGCCTATATTTTCTGCCCATTTCTGCATAAGGCCCAGGAGAATCCCATGCCCATCACATGGCAGCAGACCTATTGGATTCTACCATTTCCAGGAATCCCTTCTAGCTTATAACTGATGAAAGATTACTTTCTTTTATATACATATAAAAGAAGAACTCCCACACTAAAGAAGACCAAATTGTGGCAGCTAACATCTAGTTTAAGTAAAAGGCTGATAAATAGAACGATGCATATTCAAAGTGTGCAATAGTTCCTAGTCAAGTCTGTCCACCTGTTTAGTCACTGAAGATCTTGTGTGGATTTTGAAATCTTTACAATGGAGTAACATTCAACCAGATAGCTAGAGGAGTAAATTATCCAATTTCAACTTGTGGGTCTACTTAGGCCAGAAACATGTATGTATTTAATATGGATTTCACAATCACTTCTTCTCTCTGTCCTGAAGATTCACCACTGACTAAAACACAAATCTCTGTGTTCATGAACTTCATTTCTAATGTGGAAGTAACAAATAATGAAATATAAATATTGGCTATTAGAATGTGTCACAGTGGAGCAGAGGAGAATCAACTCAAGGACGGAGTCTGACTGTGTGTTGATGTGTGTACACAAAAGGCCTGCCTGATTTTATACTTATGGATGACGTAATAGTTGAACTAAATCCAAAGACAAGGACGAGATCAACCATGTAGATACCTATAGGAGGAGGATTGCAGCCAACTACACAGGGTAAAGGTCCTAGTAATGACAATACTTGGCACAATGTGTCTAGAACCACAGTGATATCAAGTATGGTGAAGGCAGTGAAAGAGAAAGATGGGACTCTGGAGTATGAAGGTATTGGCTTTGGTAGGAATGGAAATAGATCCTCTAGAAGATGTGGCTGATCAGAATGTGGCGTCACACTGTCTATTCAGAGGTATCTCTCATTTAGATTAGTGCTGAGTTGATTATGACATCAGACAGGGAAACAGGGAAACTATAATAAGATCTATGTCTTAAAGGAATTCAATGTCTGGCAGGTATACAAATTAAAGATCAGACAGCTAACGTTTAGAAAGGAGAACGCCTTTGTAGTAATCCCTTCGGAAGATGTTCAATGCAAAATGTCTTGAGCCTAAAAATATAAGAAAGATTAACTAGAAGAGTCAAAAGACCGCACCTGTCTCTAAGCCTGACACATTAACTACTATATCCAAATTGCTGTCAAACTCAGCACTCCAGTCTCCATGCTTCAGTCAGTTTGAACTTCTACAAAGCAAAGAAGAGATTTTCAAGGCATTAATATCCTTTATTGGTTTTCTCTTGCCTGTTTCCCCATAGTGAATGCCTAAACACCTAGGGTCTGTGGCAGACCTTTGTAGACCTTAGTTCTTCCTGCTTGCTGCAAAGGACAACACTGGCTTATCTCTGTGTGACAACAAACTGCACTCTCTGCCTCAGACAAGTAATTTTTCCCCTCTGAGCCTCAAATGTTAAAAGCACAATAACAACTCACAGTCAACTTCCTGAGACTAAGACATTCCACATACATAAACAGTGTTGTAGAAATTATGCTAATTTCTTTATATGTATCAATTAATTACAATATTTACAAGAACCACTTATGTGTTATATTGTCCTAGTATCAAGGTTTCCATGACAATCCAGACAACTAGCACTCCTCTATAACTTTTTGATACTCTGTCAGTAACTCTATGTTGGAGCATGATAATTGAGGGTAAGTCAGGTTTACTCTGTATAGTAAGTATAATTCTATATATGGTATGACTGAATATTAGACAGTACTTAGTAAAAATCACACACATAGTGAATTCTTAAATGAAGATTAAACCCTGGTCTATTTCAGAGAGTAATATCTTCTTTTTGATAATACAAGAAGCAATATTTGACAGCTGTGGTACTTTTGCTGGAAGTAGCCCTTCAGAAAGCCTCTTAGAGTAAGGGGGACTGAGTTAGCATCAGTCTCCTGGAAGGTTCCCAACAGCCTGACATTTTCTCTTATGGATTAGACATTGAAGCAGGCAAGCATCAATGACAGCACAAGAGCTGGTATGTTCCTAGAGACAGCTGCCCTGCACGCCCTAGCCTTTAGCAATTGCCTGGCAACCACTTCCTGTGTACACTGTCAGGGCAATCTTAGGTCCGCCAACAAAAGCTCTGTCCTCCATCCCTGCCATAGCCCATATCTGATACTGTTCTTAGCCAGAAGGCTAACAGATATGGAAAGGCAGGTGGATCTGTACAAATCCATCACCATGATCAGTGTCAACAAAACAAGGGTTGGGGTGAGGGGTGAGGGGCTTCTGAGGTGACCTAAAAACATCACAATGATTTTCAAAAGGGGACAGCACAATAATTTGTGAAATATGTGGTTATAAACACTGATGTAACCTTACTGGCAATGATGCAGCTGGAAAGAGCTCTCTGGATTTCAGCTTCTTTCTCCATTAAATTAAAACCAAATCCAAACACTAATGGATATAGATAGGTGTGACATACAAGGCAGTTTCTTTCTGGCACTTATGGTCTCCCTTCTTCCAGGGTCTTTTTCTTCATTTAGCTAGTTAGATTTTGTCTTTCTCACATATCCTTCCATAAAAATAGAGCAGCAAGATAATCTATGGTCACAGAAAAAACAAATATAAATCTTGTTCTCTTCCAGGTTTTCTTATTTTCTTGCTTTTGGATACTAGGATAAGTGTAGGTTGATTACAACTGATTCAGATTAACTATAGCCAAAGATCACTTAGAAACATCCATTGTGCCATCCAATTAGTTCTTAGTACCACGTGAATAAAACCTGGATTGTTATCTACATACTGACTACTTCAAATTTAAACAACAGCAATGTGTTCCTGAGCTGAACGATAGTGACAGATGACGGTAAACAGAGAACTAGGTGCTGGTAAGCCAGTCGCCTATGTTAAAGGAGAGGTTACAGCTGTAAAGAATAGAAGCACACATGCAAGATGGCTGCTCATCACACTGCCACTCTGATGAAAAGAAGTCTTCACCGCAAAGATGTCTAAGCAGAATGCTTATGCCCTTTGGAGGCTGTAGTCAGTTTTGACTCTCAAGCAGTACAGTACCTGACTCAGAGAAAAGAATATTTCCACCAGCCCAGTTCACTAGGTAGCCTTATCCCATTCTGTTGATTGGCAGTTGGTGTTATTTCAAGGAACTCCTTGACATGCTTTTCTAGGGACCTGGAATTCCCTCTCATGTTACTCTTGCTGACTGAAATCTTTGAGGCTAAGTAAGTGATCTATTTCTAAGAAAATAGTTAAGGAAATGTAAACCTTTTTCTACATCCCATGCAAGGACTTCTAAGCAGAGGATAGCAGAGGATGAAGGTTCTGTGCTTCAGCCCATCCCACCTAGAATGTCAATGACAGCACCCTGGTTCCCAACCTTAGTCT